ATTTACACTTTCAGTTTCTCACACCAGAGAAACTATTCGGTATTTCCACATGTGTGTCCTATTTATTTCACTTAAGAGTATTGCCTCAATGTGACACATGTGCTTTCATCATGCCATTTCCCCTGTTAAAATTTGTGTTACTTTTAGTGCCTTTGAAAGTCCTCGTGAAAAAAATCAAAATTCTTTAGCCTGGTATTCAAAGCCTTATGTAATTAGAATGAACTTCCTTCCACCTGCCATTGCATCATCTTTATTCAAACTCAGTTGTCTTTTTAGGCCTTTACACTTTTACTCATGTAGCTCCCCATTCTTGGAATACTGTCCTTTTACACATTGCTTTCATCTTTCAAGTTTCACCTCCTGAAAGCCCTTCCTAGTTATATCAGCCCTAACTGGCTTTCTTTTCCTCAGTACCCCTTTAATATTGATTATCCTCTCCAGGTTTTGAGTCTATAATCTTTATTCTTATGCATTGTTATGGATAAGCTACATGCTTCAATCTTGCATCCCTCAAATAAATTGTAGGCAATTTAAGGGAGATTTCTGTTGCATCATTAGGTGACTCATTATAATGGATGAGATGTACTTAGCTGGGTACCAAAGATTTTTGTATCTATTTACACAAGTCTGATATGTTGGCATAGACATCTGTCTCACTCTACCTTTACCCTCACTGTGAGACTAGCTTGAGAGTTCACAGAATATAGGCCTAAATGTATTGCCAGAAATAATAAATAAGCAAAAGCCAATCAACCATATTTGGCACTCACTCTGTTGAGATGTCTTCCGGCAGAGTATGATATAAGTCATGGTGATGACAACCATACAGCACAAGGAGGTGATGAGGATGATGGCAAACATAGGCAAGCCCCTTCCTAGGAGGCAAAAAAAAAGACCAAGTGGTATGTGGTTGAAAGTAAGGTGAGAATCAGAAACTCTAAGAATCAGCCCAGAGTAGAGAAAGTTTCATTCTTTTCCATTTTTCTATCTTCTCCTAACCTTCTTAGCGAGTCAGCATGACAAACTAAACTCCAGGTCCATGAGAAAGTCTTGAGAATAGTCAGAGAAAGTATGTTTAAAGAGGTTCCTCCTGCTTTTTTTTCTTTTTTTGGTACCAGGGATCGAACTTGGGTCCTTGCCCTTGGGAGGCAGCAGGGGAACTACTGAGCTAAATCCCCAGCCCAGGGCCTGGTATTTGGTTTTTTTTTTTTTCCTTAAATTCTTTTATTGGTACATTTTAGGTATACAGTACGTTTACATTTTATCATTGGGTGCTTGTACCTGTACATGATGTATCTTAGTTCTTATTTTCTCCCCATTACCTGTGTGCCCTTCACCCCTCCACCCTTCCCTATTTACATAGACTTCGTTTCCATTTTTTTTCTTTTCTCATAATTTTTCCTTTCCATTCTTTCATTTCCCCATCTCCTCCCACCACCCCTACCCTGTTGGACCTTTTCCTATTTCAAAGTATCAATTATTAGTTATTAAACCTTTTAATCCTTATTTACACTCTCAGTTTCTCACACTAGAGAAACTATTCTGTATTTACACATGTGTGTCCTATTTATTTATATCACTTAAGAGTATGGCCTCAATATGCATCCATTTAGCTATAAATGACTCTAGTTTCTCATTCTTTATGGCTGACTAGTACTCCATTTTATAAAAAAAACACATCTTCTTTATCCAGTTTCCAGTTGATGGGCACCTGGGCTGTTTCCAAGCTTTAGCTATTACAAACTATGCAGGGCTTGCTATTTGACAGTCAATTATCTTGTACATTTGAGCCAGAATTCCATGTTTCACATGAGGCCAAAACAGAAGGTTTTCACCTTCCCTTAGAAAGAAAAAAGTATTACTTTGATTTCCGAGCTTCAGTAAAATGCTACTTTATTGAGATTTGGGTCAGTTACTATTTTTCCTCACAATACTCTTTGGCCAAATTCTCGGCTTTCTTTTTTCTCAATGTGTATTTCTACTAAGTTTCCTGGAGTACATATCTCTATCATGCCTAGAAGGTGAAGAACCCCCTGTACTGGGCTTCCAGTCTTGGATCTGTTATTTATTTGCTGTATGACTATAGTAGGCAGAATAATGTTCCCCCAAAGATGCTCACAACCAAATTCCTGAAACCTGTGAGTGCTTACTTTTACATTATAAAGAGGAATTAGGGTTATAGATAGAAATAAAATTGGTAATTAATTGGTGTTGAGATGAGGAAATTATCCTCAATTATATAGGCGGGCTCAATTTACTCAAAATAAATTTTAAAAGTAGAGGGAGGAGACATAAGAAGAGGTCAGAGTCAGAGGGAAATTTGAGGATGTTACATTGGTAGTTTTGAAAATGAAGAAAAGGAGCCAAGAGCCAAGGAATGTGGGAAGGTTTTAGAAAATGGAAAGGATAAGGAAATGGATTCTTTCCCAAAGCATCCAGAAGCAATGCAGCCCTACTGACATCTTGACTGTAGCTCATTAATAACTATGTCAGACTTCTGATATCCGGAATTGTGAGACAATACATTTATATTGTTTTAAGGTACTAGGTTTTGGCTTAGTTTTTATAGTAGTCATAGAAAAATGAATACACTGACATTAATTAAATACCTGACTGTTGCTGGGTCCTATTTTCCCTTTCAGTTCTATAAAACATTTAGAACATGTCTAATCTCTTTTAGCTATAATATTTTGAATGTGGGGGATTAATGAGGGAATAAAGAAGGGTAGAGAAAGGAATTTCAGTGTCCTTCAGATTTTCTGGTGAAGCTGTCTTTGTTTTCCCTAAACTCTATGATGTGCTGTATTAGGAATATATAGTTCTCTGAGGTTTCAGTTGTAAATGAGATAGTAAAAGCCATTGGCTAGTGCAGATCAAAGAAGATTCTTCTGTGATGGGAGTTCAAGTAATGAAAAACTTGATAGAGGAGGTAGGGCACAGATCCAGCATTGAGAATTTGTACTCCTAGAGTTATCTTCTCATCTTACCAAACCAAATCTCAATGGTTCAAGGAGGCGAATAATTATCAATGGGTGTGAAAGTAGCTCATTATTTAAAAATCAATGCAGTCATCTCAATACAAAACAGCTGACTCAGTTCAAGATGGTGTTTTAATCTCTGTGGCTCTGAATTGGGAATCCTTAAGACTTTGGAGGAATAAATAATTGGTTGCAAGCTACTGAAAAAGCCCTGACTAAGAGCTCAAGTACTGCTGTTATCTTTACCTGGCCCAATGGCTATGTAGAGAGCTGGTGTAGGTCAAGGTCCTACCCCATTCTTGTTCAGAGTGTTTGGGAAATATATTACTATGGCAATAAGGAGCAATGAGAGAATATACATACTATTCACTTGAACTTCACTCTATCTTTGTTCATCCCTGAATCTCTCTCTCTCTCTCTCTCTCTCTCTCTCTCTCTCTCTCTCTCTCAATGATTTGTACAGTTGAATGCCACAGAAGAATGTATATAGTCAGAAGTATTGGACACATAACTGGAGTCAAGAAGAAAGGATATAAGTCATAAACTTGCCTTTCCCCGGCCCAGCAATGGTTTCCCCAAAGTAGACATCCGTTTTAGTGGTCCAGTCCCAGGATGGGTTTAATGTAGATGTTGCTATAATAACAGGAAATTAGAATCAGAAGTCTTTCTTCAAGACAAGTTCTAAAAGGTAAGGGATGGCTGCAAAGTTGGGAGTTTTTGTAGGAATCTGTGCCTGTCCTTCAAGTGTGCTGGACATATCATTGACCTCAGTACTGTGAGGTGAGGCATCACAATTTCTTACTTTTAGGGATTCATAGAGGAAAAGAAAGTTCATAGAGAGGAGCTAATATACCCAAAGTCACACAGCAAATCAGGTTAGGAGCAAAACAAAAGTTATAGTGTGCTCTTGTTTCAGAAATTTCCCCAAAGAAGAGCCTTTGTTTTCATGATTCTATTTGTTCACTACACTTACCCCTTGTTACCTTTCTTTTGTTTCCATTCATTTACTACATTGTTTTCTCTGAGTGGCCCAGTGATCAGTTATTACTCTTTCAGTGGTATTGGGGATTTTACATTGGTTTCCATGATACCATTTCAGACCTCTCTTACTTTCACAGAATCCTAGTAAAATTTACCTTTCAATGGGGATTTTATGGTGGTAGGTGCCTCATTCTTGGTCTCAAATGGCTCTAAGGAACCTGAAAGAAAAAAGAAGCCTGATCAAGGGCCTTGGTACCTTTGAGTGAACAGCTGAATACCCTAGAAAATTAGGAAGGAGGTAAAGCCCAGTTAGGCTCATACCCGGACCTCTCTACACTTGCCTCATGATACTGGTAAATCCTGTGTTGCCTGTTCATTTTTCAAATACTGATCTAAGGCAGTATCCTTAAGTCAAGGTTGACAGACCTCCAAGGAATATGTGGCTAGGGTTCAGAGAGTCTGTAAACTTGGACGAGAAAATATAGTTTATTTATTACTAACTTTTAACTGAAATGTAGTAATTAATCTATTGAGAGGGACTTTTGAGGTCTCATGGTAATGATTAATGTCAGTGAAAATGGTGGAGTGATTATCTCCAAAAATTTACACCACCCTAAAATAACAGAAAAATTTGATATTGTTCAACTTTTTCCAGTGTTTTGGAAATTATCCAAAGGCTTGTAACAACAGAGAGGATTTATGGAAGAAAATAACACCATTTTTTAAAGTAATAACAGCAAGCTTTGTGGAATTTTAACTTAGTATTGTGGCATTTAACTTTAGTTTTGTCACTTATTTCCAGCTCAGATGTAATCAGAATAAAACTTCATTCCAGCTGATGGAGTGAGCAGAGTAGACCTGATTCCCAAACAATTGTCATTATTTGACCTATTTGGTGGGTCCCTGGAAGTTCAAATAGCTGTTTTATTGGTCACTCAATTTTAAAAGCCTCTCTTCAAGGATGGTAGTATATTTGTCACATAGATGCTTGAAGTAATGGGTAAAAATTTCAAGAAAAAAGAGAGTAACCAAAAATCTTAAAAAGAAAAATTGAAGAATAAGATTCCCATAGGAGTTTAAAAATCTATGACACATTCCTGAGAATTTAGAATGCCACATACATCCATAGAGCTGTGCCTTCTCAGGAAATACATAAAAAGGTCATAAATTATTATCCCTTGCTAGTCTCCTAAACAGAAAGTGAAAACTATGACACGGTTATAAACTGATTGTCTGAGTATTAAAGCATGGCACAACAGGCAAGAGAGTTATTTGGTAAAGACTAGGAGACTTACTGGTTACAGGCATTTAAAAAAATATCCATCCAATCATTAGCTGACTACTAAACTAACCAAACAAAGACTTAAGTGGCCATCCATGGCAAGTAATATGAAAGAATACACATAATTAACTCAGAAATTCCCTAAACAAAACAAAGTAAAACAAAAAACTATTATAGCAAGCAGAGTCAAAAACAAGCCCTTGGGAAAAGAAAGAATAAGATTTCCAAAGTTATCACATTATATTATTCTAAAAGTCTAGTTTTCAGCAACAAGAAATAAAAGACATACAAAGAAACTAGAAAGTATATCACATTAACAGGTAAAGAAAAATTTAATAAGTAGAAATTGTCCTTGAGGAAACAGTGATACTGGACTTAATAGAAGACACAATTTAAATGTGTTAAAACTGAAGGAAAATGTATCTAAATAATAAAAAAAATAATGATTTAAATAAAATAGAAAATATCAATAAAAAACTGATATTGCAAAAAGGAACCAAGTAGAAATACTAGAGTTGAAAAGCACAACAACAGAAAAGAAAACATCATTAGATGGAAAAAAATCCACTAGCAGATTTGAGCAGGCAGAATAAAGCATCAGTAAAGTTGAAGATATAATTTAAATTATTGTTAGTGGAATAGAGAGGAAAATGAATAAAAAATGAACAAAACCTTAGAGACACATGGAATACCATAAAAGATGCCAATATATACATAATGAGAGTCCTTGAAGAAAAATGAGAGAGAGAGAGAACGATTTGAAATGGAAGGCAAAATTCTCTCATTTGATGAAAATCAGTAATCTGCAAATCCAAGAATCTCAGTAATCTTGATTAGGATAAACTAAAAAATATCCATACCTATGTACAACATAATCAAAAAAGCAAGAATAGTGAGAGCAGCAAGATAGAAGCAATTTATGTACAGGGGATTCTCAATAAGATTAATGGCTAGTGTTTCATAAGCAACCATGGCAGCCAGAAAGCAGTGGAATCATATATTCAAAGTGCTGGAACAAAAATCCCACCAATCAAGAGTTATATATTCAGTGAAACTATCATCCATTAATGAATGAGAGATCTAGGCACCATGGCATACATTTATAGTCCCAACTATTTGGGAGGCTTCGGCAGAAGGATCACTGGAGCTCATGAGTTTAAGGCCAGACTGAGCAACACAGTAAGACTCCATCTCAAAGAAAAAAAAAGACAAAACAAGAAATGAAGAAGAAGTTAAGATATTTCCAAGGTAAACAATATCAGAGAGTTTATTTCCAGTAGATATACCTATAAGAAACATTAAAATGCATTCTACAACCAGACCTGGTGATGTATGCCTGTAATCCCAGCACTCAGGAGGCTCATGCACATGGATGGTGAGTTTGAGGCTACGCTGGGTTACACTGTGAGTTCAAGACAAGCCTGCTCATATAGTCAGACCCTACCTCAAAACAAACAGTATTCTTCATGCCTAAATAAAATAAAAGGATACTATACAGTAACACAAACCAACAAAAAAAAACACCAGTAAAGGTAACTGCTTCATAAATGTGGAGTGCAAATATATCTCACTATCTGATTTAACATACATTGTCTAAAACTGAGATCAGTGGCATGTGCCTATATTTAAAGCTATGTGGGAGGCTGAGGCAGTAGGATTTCTTGAGCCTAGGAGCTCAAGGCCAGCCTGGACAACATAGGAAAATGTTATCCCCCCAAAAGATGCAGAAATCAATAATTACACATCTTTGCTGATTTCATTATAATATATAAAGGTCTAACAATAATATTAAAAGGGAGAGAATGGGGATGTATAGAAATAAATATACTATTGTAATTAAGTTGATATAAATCCAAACTCTATTGTAAATTAAAAATTAATTATAATCCACATGGAAACCACCAAGAAATTAGTAAAAATATATAGTTAAAGAAACAATAAAGGAATTATATAGTATATTATAAATTATTTATTGAATAACAAAGATGGCAGTAATACAAACAGTGAAATAAGAAAGATATAGTATATATAGAAAAAAGAGAAAAACTAGCAGACATAAATCCTACCTCATCTGTAAACATGTTAAATATGAATGGATAAGACTCTAAAATTTAAAGGCAGACATTGTTAGAGTGTAATAAGAACCATAAATACAACTATATTATGTGTGTGCTTAGGCTTCAAAAACAGAAACAATTTTATAGTAAAAGGATGGAGAATCATTCTGACAAAATACACTTTAAGAAAAATATTGTTACTGGAGATAAAGAGAAATTTAGAATTATAAACAAATCAATCCATCATTAGGACATTTGAATTATATATGTATACTCCTAAGAACAGAGCCTCCAAATTCATGAAGCAAAAATGAAAGAATTGAAAGGAGAAATAGCACATTCAGCAAAAATAATCTAGTGACATGAAATAGATATTCAATAAAAACAGAAAAAATGCAAGAATGTTCAATTTGTCTCTTTATGAAGTTTATATCCTTGGACTTTCTGATCAATCTGAATGTAGAATAGTGATTAATAGAGGTTGAAAATGGTGTATGCAGGTGAAGGTGGGTAAAGGGAGGTTACATTTGATCACTGCATGCTGTATGCATGTGTTGAAATGTCACAGTACTTGCTGCTTTGCCAGAATATTGACTCTCAGAGAGATGAATCACTGTCAATATAACCTTCCCAGCATGAGAATTTGTAGAGAGAAGGGGGAAATAAAAGAAAATATGTAGAGATCTAGGCTTTACCTCATAAAACAAAAACCTAATTAAAGAAACAAAACAAGCAAAAGAAAAGAAAAAACAAAAAATAACAGCTTTCAAAAGGTGTCCAGGAAGATTCAAACATGAGGAGCAATCAGTGTAAATAGTAAAATTCAAACACAAATCTGGATTTGTACTTCCTTGGTGTGAGTCAACCAGCAAGTCGATTGTTTTTCCTCTCAGTTTCCTTTTCTTTAAAATGAAAGTCATTTTAGCCACTTCATGGCATATTTGCGAGGATTTGGTGAGGAAATGTTGAGTTCCTAACCTTTGTATCTGACAAACATGAGGTACCTGTAAATGTCACATTACCTTTTACCATCCTTATATGACAGCTATTGTCTCTAACCCTATAATCCCCGGTTCTGAATAGTGTGAGTGTGTGTGTGTGTGTGCACGCACACGTGTGTGATTGTATAATCATTGCCTACCCAGGACCCCACTCCTCCAGCCATTCTCTGGCATAATGGCAGGAGTAGTGAGATATCTTTGTTCTGTTAAGATGTTCACCTGGAAGGAAGACTGCTTACCTTTGACCACAAACTTCACAATGTTGCTGCGTTGCTCAGAGCCAACACGGCCCTTGGCAGTACAAAAATAGAAGCCTGAGTCAGCCACCACTGCAGGCTTGAAGAGTAAAGTACTCAAATCTGCTACTTTTATGGGTTCCTGGTCATTAGTTTGTTCCTTGTACCAGACATAACTGATGGGGGGAGAACCCCACGCCAGGCACTGAAGGCTAATCCTCATTCCTTGGGGCACCGTGAAGCCATAACCGCTGCCAGTTGTCACTGTAGGCTTGGAGACAGGAACTGCAAATGGAAGAGAAAAGAGGAGGCTCTTGGAATCATAAGGTTGTGGGACACAAGGCCACAACGTCCTTGTTGGGCATAAGGGCATACATGTGTCTGCAACTGGAAATAAAGATAGTTCCTGAATTGGGAGGAAAGAAGGGAACAGCAAATAAAAATACCTTCCTTTGCACCACATTTTTTTTTCTTTTGCAGAGCTGGGGATAAAACCCAGGGCCTCAAACATGCTAGGCAAGTGCTTTGTAAGTGAGCTACATCTTCAGTCCAAAAATAGCTTCCTTTGGAGGATTAGGTACTATTTTGTATTATCTTGTGTTTGGGATTATCTGGAGTTAATCACGTGGCTGAAGAAAATGTTTTTTATGCTCAAATTTGCTGTTATTTGCAGTTTTAGATTACCAAGACCAGATCTTTGTAAATTGTTAACCCAGCAAAACCTATCTTGGCTTAAGCTCTGGCTTCCCTTTTTCCAAAGCTTTTCTGTCAGAATTTGTTTACTCTCCAATATTTTGATTAAAATTATTCACTTTTATAAGTTTTAAGGCCCCAAACCTAAGGAGGGCAACAAGATATAAATGTCAGAAATTCTGGAACACTTGATGAGGTAGATTTGAAAGCCAGAAACCCTTCCCAACCCTTATTAACTTTTACCAAGGGAGTGATAACCCTGAAGATCCTGTCTGTACACTTCATCTGATCAGCACATATAATTGAAGAAAGCCTATGTACAGATAAACCAAGGTCTCTTGATTTCTCAGAGGTTTACTAGGATTATAGTACTCTATTGAATCTTTACCTATCAATGCTTTCCTATTCCCACAGTGACTCACGTTTCTGGATACGGAGCTCAATGGTCTTATCTCTCATCACTTGGTTGCCATCAGGGTTCTGCCAGGTGATTTCACAGGTGTAATGGCTCCTGTCATCCATCTCTAAGCTATTCAGTTGGAGAGATACAACCCCGGGAACCTCCTGGCTCACATGCAGGCGGCCTCGATATTTTGCTTGCTGGATATGGTCTCCAGAGGAGTCACGTTGGAAGATGGTGACTGGGTCTGAGTCACGTTGTACCAACCATCTCACCATGACTTGGGTATAGCCCTTTTGGGGACCATAGGTACAAGGAATATTCACATCCCCTTTCCAAGGTCCTGTCACATTCTCTGGTGCTTGCAGGATGGGACAGCCTGAAGTGAGGAAACAGAGGAAAGAAGCTAACATAGAAGGCATATACACCGGGGAGCTACAGTGGCAGTGGCAGGCCCCAAGAGGTTTCTGAGAAACACTCCTCAACTTTCCTTCCATCACACTTCTGTTTTCCCTGTGCCCCTTTATTCTCTGCCAACATTCATATCAAACAGAACTAGTTTTTAGAGTGTTTTAGATTTTATGAGTTTCACGTCCTTTTCATGTCACTCTCTTGCTATGAATTGATCTTAGGTAAGTCAGTCCCATGATTTAGAATCAATTTTATTCATCTATAATGTAAAACGTTTGAATAGTATGATCTCTAAGGATTTTACCAATTTTGGCATTCTGCACGTTCATGAAAAAAAATTCTTTTCCAAAGAGGTGAGAACAGAAATCATGAGAAGTTATGCCTGGACTGTTTCAGTTTCATGTGTAAATATGTGGCTAGAAAAATATGGGGGATTTGGGACTTCACAAGAATGGGTCTTCTTCTTCTGCCTTATTATCCCTTTCTGCTCCCTCAGGAGAAAGCTCATCATTACAATCTCAACCCTAAGCTCTTCTCTGGAAGGGAGGAAGGAGGTAGGGGTAGGGAATAGGCAATTCTGATGGTGAAATTTGATGCATTCTTATTTAACAAAACCATTAGTTATTTTAAAAATTGAAGCCTGTATTTTGTAAGCTGGATTTTCTAATTTCTTTGTTTTTATTTCTCCTTTAGCTTCTCTCAGTTCTTATCAAAGATACATTGGAAAATTCCATCCTGCCGGAGAAGTTTTTTTCTCATTGTGGCTAGGGTGTACTTTCAACTTGATTGGCTTTGTGATCCACCCTGGGGAGCACAGTTCTAGGAATATCTGGGTGGGTCATGGAGGCATGGATGTAGGATCCATGTCTGGTTCCTCACTCCTTGTACTCTGACACTGTTGCCCTTCTCTGCTTCCATGAGGCTTTACTCTGCCATGCCCTTCCACCATGTTGTTAAAGCCAGCCTGCTATGTACTCAATTCCCCAAAGCCATGAGCCAAATTAAACCTCTCATCTTTTTTTTTAAACCTCTCATCTTTTAAGTTGAGAGTGCTAGGTATTGTGTATCTGTGAGAGGAAAGCTGAATAATACATCCATGTTTGGTATAGACAAGAAAAATGTAGGGGTAAAATCCTGGAACTGGCTGTACTAGGGATGGTGGTAGGAGGAAAGAGAGATTGCTCCTTGATGATCTCGAAAGGGAAACCTGCAGGGAAAAGGATGGAAATATTGAAACAGCCATTGCTCCCCACCAGAATTTTTAATCCACAAATGTTGTATTTTGAGGATTTTGTATTCTGTTCAACCGGGGCCGAGAGTAGGGGCCTGTATTCAGGCAATGTCTTTATGTCCCTCCTAGGAGAAGTGGTTTCAGAATATGAGTTGTTACTCAATAAAATACTTTTGTCTAGCTCAGTGTTATCATGTTTCAGTTAAGCAGATGGAAGATGACACCTTTTGAATGGGCTGGGCCTGTGCTTTCTAGCTCCCAGAATGTATCAAGTACCAGGACTTCTCTCGGTGGAGATACTAAAGTTGATACTTTGGCCTGTGCCCTCACCAGGTACTCTTAGAACATCAATGACACATTTCACCCAAGATAAAGATCTTGAGTAGAAAAGAATGAATAAACATAACTGATGTTGCTAGGTACACCACACACTCTGTGGAGAGTTTTAGATATGGCAGGGAGCAGAACATAAACCCACAAAGGGGAATTCAAGTGGAGTAATTTTAGTGATCCCTAAAAACTTTATAATCAGAATTTTCTATGGATGGATCATGCTGCCTGGGGAAGTTCTAAGCTCTGTTTGGTGTTGGACACCATTATTCTTTAAGGGTCCTTACAACCCTAGGTATCTAGTGCTAATGGACTGTAATGGAAATAAAAATTAAATAATTACATACTCTAGCTGCTAGTTAACTTTCACCAGGTGGTGGCTTTCACTGTGCAACTGATAGTTTTTGTTTTCATATGCATGCAGTTACAGCTTAACATCATCACATGCATACATACCCATACATATTTTTAGCACCATAAAAGCAAAATCGTACCATCCTTAAGACTCCTGAAAACTATCTTATCCTCTTGGTTTAATGGACTCTTTCTAATTAATTGGGCTCTGACCCTCCCCAATCTCCCTCCTTTCCACTGAAAAAAACTCTCACTCTTCCTTCCTGGGCAACAGAGCAATGTTCTCCTCTGAGAATATCTGGAGCTACTGAAAATGTCTTTGTCTATACATATGCATATTTCCCTTTTGATCTTTGGGGAGCTGCAAGTCCTGGCTATGTTTCCATCTGTGGGAACTTGATGGAGATTTTCACATAGCTCACTTTGGTCTGTCAAGCACATAGCAAGCCAGTGTCAAATTTAAAATTGGGAAATTAATTTTCAGAAGTAGGTCAGGGTTGATTCCTCTATCCCAGAATGGGAGTATGGGATAGAGCTGCTAGCTACACTTTCCATAATGGTGTGTGTTTTCCTATGTTTACTTTTTTCTTCCCCTCTCCTTTATTCATTTGTTCCTCTTTCCACCCATTATTCCATTTTTTTCCATTAAGTTTATTGGTACATTTTAGGTACACAACACAGTTGCATTCATCATTGGGAACTTGTACCTTTACATGATGTATCTTGGTTCTTATTTTTTCACCATTCCCCTGCCCTCCCTTCACCCCCTTCATCTTTCCCTATTTACAAAGTCTTTGTTTCCATTTTTTCCTTTTCTCATATTTTTTCTTTTCCCTTCTTTCCTTTCCCCTACCGCCCCCCCCACTTCACCTACTCCTTTAGACCTTTTCTTCCTATTTCACAATATCAATTACACATTTTGATCCTCATTTACACTTTTAGTTTTTCACACCAGAGAAACTATTCGGTATTTACACATGTGTCCTATTTATTCCATTTTGATTCTTTTTCTTCTTTGCCCCTTCCTTGCATTCTTTTCATTCTTCTCTCTTCTTTTAAACCTGCTTTATTAGTAACATAAAAAGAGATTGTACAGTAGACATAGAGCACCACAAGAAGATATTGTACTCTTCATGTTCCCTGATCTCCAGAGTGAGGGTAACCACAATAACATTGACTTGTACCTTTCAATTATCCCTTCAATCCTGAGAGAGAGACTAGAAAAAACAGGAGAATCTAGTAAGATCAGGAAAGTAGTCAAAGACTGTATAATATGTAAGAACAACACCATCTAGGTCCAATGTCTGTCTGCCCTACTGCATATCTCTCTATGCCATTTGTGTAAATTACTAAGCCTGTCTAAAATCATGTCATCATTGATAAAGTGAAAACAATAAAAATATTCCATGGAGAATTATTGTTACAAATAAAAGTGAACTCGTAAATGAGAAAACACCTGTTATATATCTGACATTCATTAGATGTTGGATAAATGTCAGTCTTCTCTTATGCCCCAGGTAAAACTTCGTATATCCTCCTCGACTCTTCTTGTCTAATAGAAGTCTTCAGAATGCCTTCCCCTGGGTAAATATTCATTTGATTGGATCATCGTCAACTTTCATAGTCACTTGAAGGAGAAGTTATCACATGACAAGTAAGGAGGCACCTTCCCCAGTCTGATAGATTCTACTGAGTTTTGGGCAGGTACTAGACCATCTGTGGGTTGTAAGGCAGCCAGAGAAGACAACAGAATGTGTCTTGGTGACAAGACTGGCTTGGCAGTCAATGTGAAATGTTGGCCAAATTAAGCAATACTCCTGACTTTTCTCGAAGATTGGGTAGGAACAATCCATTTCAGAAAAGCTCCACCTCCCGTGGAAATGCTGTATCCATTAGGGATACAAAAAAAAATTGTGAGCCACTTGATAAAACAGTGATTGAGGTAGGATAAAATTTGAAGATTTGTGGAATTGTGTGCCTAGGAGACCTTTTAGAAATAGTCACATTTCCTCATGGATATGCAGTGGTATCTCAGTTCACAAATGCTTTTGTTTGAAAACAATTTGGTTCACAAAAAAAGCATTTGGCAAAATTTTCTTCTTGTTTGGAAACTCTGCATCAGGTGACAAACATGATCACAGCCATCTTTTCCACACAAATGCAAATGTGGCCATCTTTTCCAAAATTGTGGAACAAATTAAGCTTGTGAACCAAGGTACCAAGGCATATGGACAAGCTAGGGTCCAGAGTGAGACATTCTTATCCAAAGTCAGACAGATAGCAAGGCAGATTTGGTCCTGGAGGCCCAGAATACAGGTTTTCAGATGATACATTGCTTTCATTCCTTCTTAACCTATTAAACCATCAGGCACAATTAAAACCAGCAGCCTCCTACCTGCACCTATGTAACATGATTTCAAGGATGTCAACTTAGATATGTTTTAGACTGCATGGAAAAAAACTGCTCTCATCTTCCAGTTGCTTCCTGAAAATGCTTTCCTAGAATCTTGCACCCCTATTCTCACGTAAGAACTGCATATCCTTTGAATATTGGTCTCCTTCAGGAGAAAGACCAGGGCTGAACATTGACTCAGAGGGTTTGTTGAAGGAAGGTTTGGCTTAAGAAAGAGGGAACAGTACTCTGGTCCTAGGACCATGACTCAGATAAGCAAAAGTCTGGGGCCTGTGTAATGGTCCTGAAGGAAAGAAAGGTCTAATTTGTTCAGTGTGATGCCCTTTCTAAGACCCCTTCTGAGTCCCTTTCTGAATCTTCTTCCGTCATCAGAGAGACTGAGATTTCTCTGTACCTGTACCTCTTTGTCCCCAGTCCCTGGCCTCTCTCCCTCTCCTAGTTACCTCATGGACAAAGGATTAATTCAATAATAGATACTTATAAAATGTTTACAAAATATTTCAAAAGTTTATAAAATGTGAATGTTAGGATTTCTTGTTTTATTATAATTATTTCAACATGCTTTTTAACCCACAGGAAGAAACTGACAGCTGATTCTGTCCCATAGGAGCTTTTTAGCTGTGAAGACACGCTGGCAGTCCCCTTGGAACCCAGCCAATCTAATCTTCTTATTGCACAAATAGGCTAGAGATACTGAGGTCCAGGGAGGGAGAAGACATTGCAAGCCATTCAGTATATCCTGAGCCTAAGTTCTCCAGTGTAAAACTTCACACACAAATGATAAGCCTGCTTCAAGGGTAGGAAGAGCTCACAGATTGGAGAAGAAACAAAACAGGAGAATTCTCATGTGCTTTCTCTTTCCTCTCTTGCATGAGCAAAAACACACAGAATTTAAATTTAACATTTATATAATGTTTCCCCAAGTCTCTGACTTAATAAATCCCAACTCAAACAGACATATTTTGAGGAGATAAAGAATTACATTCTAAATTGTGCTGCAAAATAAAAAATATTTTAGTTGTAGAAAGAATATTGCTTTTTTATAAACATTAGCTTTGACATTAATGTTCTGTAGCCTGGGGCAAACTCCTTTCCCTCTTGGTTGATTTAATTTAGGTTATTTTCTGAATCTGAAGTTTTAAATGTTGACAGAACCCGAGGATATGGTAACCTAAGCTGAGTCAGCTACCGGAAGCTGAGTTGCTGACCCCACAAAATAACATTAAACTAACACCTACTTAGCCTCTCCCTCTTGGGAAATGAAACAAGCAGAGGGGTTCAGCAATAACCCCTTTACCCTATCTTAAGTCTCACTTAGCTTTTACCCAAGTTTAGCTTCCTGAAAAGTCATCTCACTTCTCAGGAATGTCAATAAGCACAGAAGAAGACCCACGAAATGATGCCACAATAAGATAGTTGGAATATGTGTTAGCATTAGATCCCACAAATAGCCTAAAGTGGGCTGTTTACTATGTGTTAGCCCAAGAACAGGGAAGAAATCAAGTCCTATAAAAACCAGTTGAAGGATCTGGACTATTTAGCTTGAAGAAGAGAGGAGTTAAAGGGACATATTGTGTTTCTTCAGACCTTTGAAGGGCTGTCTCAGAGAAAAAGGAGCAAATATATTCTGTGGGACTCCAAGAAACAGATGTGGGGCCTTTGGATAGAAGCCACAGAGAGGTGAATTTAGTAACACAAGTAACACTTGGAACTACTTCTGGATAGACTAGATTGTCTAGGGAAGTAGTAAACCCCAAGCAACTAGAAGTGTGTGAACAGACAATATTGATCACTTGTTCATAACAATGGATGATGGTACAGGGTACTTCTAAGGTCTCATCTCCCTCTTAGGCAACATTCCATCTTTAGGGACTGTATATTATAGCAGGGATCAAAGCCCGGAAGTGGATAGATTAGGTCTAATGTTAGAATTTCAAATGAAAGACAGTAGATGTGGCAAGAGGATTTGGGTACCATTAGGAGTCTCTTTGATGTCTTTAAGGTACAAGCACTAGAAAAATCATGCAGATGTTTCCAAAGAGTGTACACTTTTCAGTTTCTACCTAAATTTGCATCTTGGATTTCCCAGCAACCTTCACCTACCACTCTCTTTTCTGTCTAAAGCTGAGAAAGCCTGCAGCATTAGGTGAATACATTCATTTAACCAGTGGAAGCATCTTTCCTCAGTAAACAGTCAACATCACCCCTAAAGTCATTTGCCTATGCCAGCAGAGGCACCCAGGTTCCCATTTGCTATCTTACCACAGGTGATCACTGTTAGTTGGCTAAGGAGCATCAGGTCCAGTAAAAACTCCATTATGGCCAGAGCTACTTCTGTCCTTTCTTCCAGTCTCCTGCTGCCCAGGATATTTGAATTCCTAGTGGCTGCCAATGTCTGTGTCTGCTTGTTTCTCTTTCTTCCCTGTCTTTCAGTGGAACTCCTAGCTCCATTGCACATTCCCCTTCCTTCCTTATTTCAACATAAATCATGTGGGATCTCCTCTTCCTCTCTGCCTGGAGTTGGAGATTCTAGGGTGAGTGAAGAAAATCCTCCCCCTGCTAGGATGTTGACTTGACTTTTCCTGGAGCCAAGGGAACTCTCTGGTCTTTGATGGCCCAGTCTGTTTATTGTAGGTTTCCTCCACAACACTTAGAAGTTTGGGGGCAACCTTTGGGGTGAGTCTGATCACTCCAGTATGTGGGTGTTTTCCTTTCTGTTGGGTGCAGGAAGACGAAGTCAGTTTTGCTGGCCTATGAGATTTTCATCACTGTACTGTTAACCCTTCTCTGCTGAGCCCATGGACAGTCTTGGAGGAGGGGTACAAGTGGGATTCTGAATATAAAAGCTTAGTGTGTGAAAGGGCTTTCTACATGTTAAAGCTTAAATAACTGACAAACCCATAGATAAAGCTGTTGTAGAGGAAAGTGCTCCATATCTCATAATGAGAAACCTCTGAATCACTTTCTATGGTATCATCACTTCCCTGGTGGTAAGGAAGACTCTATTGTCATTAATGTTCCTTATGCTTTTTCATAAGGTATCTATTATTACTTTCTTTTAAGGGGAAGATAAGCCTTGCACTAGAAGCAGTGCACTAGATCTTTGACTTGATAGTAGAATGTTCTATTAGGTCAGACTTTTTATTCACTTCCCATTGATCCAGACTTTGACCAGAAAAGAGTGACATGAAGTCCCCTAGCAAAGCTCAATTTCTCAAAAAATAGTACTGTTAAGTATTACACTGTTTTGCTTCTTTCATACTTTAAAGACCATTTATATAATATTTCCAAACCATCTCTGGATGTTGTGAAGAACACAGGAAATGGGTGACACCGAATGTATCATTTGGGGTTTTGTCGGCCATTTAAAGTATTTTAAATACTTTAATAATTTTAATAATTTAATAATTTAAATACTGTAATACTTTTGCTTTAATTTGTATTTCTCTAGTGGCCAGTGATGGTGAGCATTTCTTCATGTATTTATTTGCCACTTCTACTTCTTCTATGAAGTGTCAATTCATTTCACTTGCCAATTTTTTGACAGGGTCTTTTATTTTGGGGGTAATTTTTTGAAAAGGTATTTGTATATTCTAGATATGGGTCCTCTGTCTGAGAAATCACTGGTAAAATTTTCTTCCCGTTCTAGAAGTTGTCTCTTCACTCTTTTGGTTGTTTCTTATGCTATGCAGAAGCTTTTTAATTTGATACGGTTGCATTTGTTGATTCTCCAAACTGTGCGACCAGGGTTCTACTAAGAAAGTCCTTGCCGATAGCTATGACTTTAAGAGTTTTACCTATTTTGTCTTATAGCAGGTTAAGTTTTTCTGTTTTAAGATGTAGTTCTTTGATCCATTTGGATTTAAGCTTAGTACATGGTGAAAGATATGGATCTAGATTCAATATCCTGAATATAGATAGCCAGTTTTCACAACACCATTTACTAAAGGAGCTTTGTAAAATTCAAGTGCATGGCTTTGTTTTTGTTTTTTTTGCCCTTTGGCAAGGATCAAGTAGTTGAATGTACTAGTGGTTGTTGCTGTAGCCTCTATTTTGTTCCATTGATCCTCATGTCTGTTTTCATGACAGTACCATGCCATTTTTAATCTTAGTAGGTTTGATTATAACGTCATGTCTGGGATGGTGATGCCTACCATTTCGCTCTTTATACCCCAGAATTAATTTTGGTATGTTGGTCTCATAAGGTTGCACAAATTTTTAGGATTGTTTTCTCCAGTTCTGTGAAGAATGCTGTTGGAATTTTAATTGGGATTATGTTAAGTCTCTATATCAATGTAGATTTATGTTGGTTCTGCCTATCCAGGAATATGGGAATATTTTCCATTTTTTGACCTTCGCTTCAATTTCCTTTTTCAGAGTATGGTACTTTTTATTGTAAAGGTCTTTCACTTCCTTAGTTAGCTTAATTCTATGTATTTAACTTGAAAGGTATTTTTTCCTAATTCATTTTTCAGTGAATTTATTATTACTACATGGATTTTGTGTCCTGCTGCATGACTGCATTTGGTTATTAATTCTAAGTATCTTTGAAAGGATTTCTGGAGTCTATGTGTTGGATTATATCATCTGTGAATAGTGATAATTTGACTTCTTAATTTCCTATACATTTCCCTTTTATTTCCTTTTCTTGACTAATAGCATTTGCTAATGTTTTGAGTACTATGTTCAACAAGGGTGATGATAGTGGTCATCCTTGACTTGTTCCTGATTTTAGAGGGAAAGCTTTCAGTGTTTCCCAATTTGATATGATGTATGCAGTAGGTTTTTCATATATGGCTTTTATTAGGTTGAGATAAGGTCCTTCTATACCTATTTTCTTTTTATTGTGTGAGGATGTTATACTTTTAAAAGTCCTTTTATGCATCTACTGAAATGATCATGTAGCTTTTGTCCTTGCTTTTGTTTATGTTCTGTATTATATTTATTGATTTGCATATGTTGAACCTTCCTTGCATCCCTGGGATGAAGCTGACTTGGTCATGATGTATTTTTTTTGGTAATTCATTGTGTTCTGTTTGGCAGTATCTTGTTAAGAGTTTTTGTATCCATATTCATAAAAGAGATTGGTCTATCATTCTTATTTTTTTGGGGGATCCTTGTCTGATTTTGAAATAAGGGTAATGGTAGCTTGCAGGAATGATCTTAACAGTACTCCATCCATTTCAGTTTCATTAAAATGTTTGAGGAGTATTGGTTTTAGAATTTCCTTGAAGTTTTTTAGATCTGAGCAATGAACTCATCAGGATCTGAACTTCTGTTAATTGGTAGATTATTTATTACTGCTTCAATTCCATTGCCTATTATTGGGTTTCTGATGGTTTTTATATCTTCTTTGTTCAGTTTTGGTAATTCATAAGTACCTAGGAATCTATCCATTTATTCCGGATTCTCCAACTTATTGGTGTACAGGTTTGTGAAGTAATTATTAATAATGTTTCTTTAAAAAAATTGTCAGTGTCCATAAATACTTCACAATTTTGTTTTTAATTGGATTAATTTGTGTCTTTTCTCTCCTTTCTTTGATTAGATTGGCTGAGGGGTTTTCTATTTTGTTTATTTTAAAGAACCAATTCTTCAATTCATTGATCCATTGTATTGTTTATTGCTCTCAATTTCATTGACTCATGCTCTGACCTTTATAATAATTTCCTTGTACTAGCTCTGGGCTAGATTGTTCCTGTTTTTTCAGGACTTGGAGATATATCTTTATATTATTCATTTGGGCTCATTCTGTTTTTGTGATTTTGGCATTCACAGTTATAAACTTCCCTCTTAGGACTGCTTTCATTGTGTCCAGTAAGTTCTGGTATGTTGTACAGGCATTATCATTTAGTTCTAAAAATTGTCTTATTTCTTCCTTGATTTTTTTCTGTAACTCATTATTTAGTTAAATGCATTGTTTAGTTTGCAAGTGTTTGTATAATTTCTGTGTTTTGTTTTGTTTTTGATTTCTAACTTCATTTTTTCTATAATCAGATAATATGCACTGGATAATTTTAATTGCTTACATTTACTTAAGCTTGCTTTATTGGCTAGTATGTGGTCTGTTTTGGATAAAGTTCTATACGGTGCTAAAAAAAGGGGTATTTTGGGGTGAAACTTTGTAGATACCTATTAAGTCCATTTGGTCAACTGCTGTGTTCAGTTCTAATATTTATTTGTTGATTTTTGTGTAGTTCATCTATTTGTGTTAGTGGCATATTGAAGTTCCTCACTTTAACTAGGTTCAGGTATGACTTATCTTTTATGTCCAATAGTACTCATTTAGTGAAGTTAGGTTCACCATTGTTTGAAGCAAATATGTTAATTATTATTACTTCTTCTTGTTGAATTATTCCCTTAACAAATATGTAATGACTTTCTTTGCATATTTTGATGAATTTCGCCTTGATGTCCATGTCTGAATACAAGATAACTACTTCTATATTGTTTTGGATTCCTGTTGTATGGAATATAGTCTAGGAGTTTCTTTTTGAGTTAAATGTGCTTCTTGTATACAGAATACATTGGATTTTGTTCCATTCTGTCAGTCTGTATCATCTGATTGGGGGATTAAGATTATTTACATTGAGAGATGTTACTGAAAGGTATTGATTTAGACCTGTTATTGCCTTTTCTTGCTGATTGTCTATCTTTCCCTTCTATTCAACTGCTTATTGTACCTGGTGTATTCATTCTATTAGATATCTTGCAATTGTTAGTTTCATTGTCCCTTTATAGGGTATCCTTTTTTGGAATGTTGTCTTAGTAGTCATGAATTTCTTTAAGTTCTCTTTATCATGAAAGTGTCTCCATCATTTTTGAAAGATACTTTTGCAATATATGCCAGCATGGGTTGGAAATTGTGTTCCTTTAGGACTTGAAGTACTTCACTACATGTTCTTCTGGCCTTCAAAGTTTCTTGTAATTTTTTTTTTTTTATGTGTGTGTGTGTGTGTACCAGGGATTGAACACGGAATGTTGTTGCACTTGTCAGGCAGGCCCCGGAATGACTGAGCTAAATCCCAGGCCCCAGTTTGTTGTAATTCTAAAGGGTTTTCCTTTGTAAGTGATTCACTGTTTTTGTCTAACTGCTTTTAAGATTCTGTTCTTTTGTTGCACTTCCAAGGTTTTGACTGTGATGGAGAAGTTCTTTCATGATCATGGATACCCTGGTTTTTATATGCCTCATTTATTTGTATGTTAAATTCTTTTTTCCTTATTTGCAAAGTTTTCTGATATTACCTCAGTAAATGTGTTTTTATGTTAGTTGTCCTATGTTCTAATTTTTCACTAATTCCAATTACTCTTAGTCTTGTTTGTGTTATGTAGGAACTGACACAATGTTGGATTCATTTTTATGTTCTCTTACTTTTAAGGTATCTCTTATTAATTTGTCACCTACAACAGCCCAGTCTTCTAGTTCTGAGACTTTGTCT